GCCTGAAAGATGGCGAGGTCAGTACGACATCACTCGCTGATGAAGATCAGAGCGTCTGGAGTCCTTCTGCTCCTTTCTGACACTAACGGGATCAAAACCTCCAACATGAGCATTATGCTTCATCCAATCAGACCTCAGAGGAGAGGTAAACATTACAGTAATACTGCAGAAATTTACAGGAAAAATCTAGAATCAACACAATATTACAGCATAAATGCGGTAATATGCTGTCATTACTGCAAATTCAATTACTGCAGTTACTGTAACGTTTACTGTTTTTCTTGCAGCGTGGGCAGCATGAAGCCCACTGTGGTCTTAAGTGAAGCTCATTGCACATTAAATATTAAACATGAAGGTTTTGTTGATTTACTGAACTCATTAGTATCTGTAAAAACTGCCACATCTTCTTACGCTGACCAGTTGGGCCATATTTGAGTCTTGCCGGGCCGATTCTGGGCCCTGGGCCTTACGTTTGACCCCCTGTGGGAATGCTGCTTCTTTTAAATGACCATCAGCCCGCCCTGGCGTGGGATCCTTGTAATCTCAGATTAATCGAGGTTTTCTCCATTAATGCTTCCTGTCATGTGACCTCAGGTGTGCTTGAGCCGAAGTATGAATGATGTTTGAGTCACGCTAAGAAACCAGATAAGCACTCGAAGCGTGCGAGTGGAAGCGTGTGGCGGCAGCAGCGAGGCCGCTGATGATGTGCAGGGTCCTGACCGTGGCTCCACATCAAGCACATTCCAGAGCGGACCAGCTGACAGTTTACATTCTGCTTCAACACAAGCAGCTCCCGTGAGTGAAACCGGTCAGCTCGCGCTCCGGCGGTCCTGCACGCGTCCTTCATCACGCCTGGCTGACGGCTGTTAGTGTTTCCAGAGAGCTTCTGTGTATCTGGGGACAACAAAGTGGTTCCACTTTCCTCGTTATCCTGAGAGCGAACACATCCAAACATCTGGCAGCGTGTCAGAACGACTCCCTCTGCTGCTTCGCTGACATCAAAGCTCAGCTCCTCTGAAACTGCAAACACAGTCTCACATCAACAACACCAGAACAGAGGGGACGTCCTCAAAAACTAAAGCTCCATTCAACCAATCTGATCCATTCAGGCAGAAATACCAAGAAAGAAATGTGTCCACAGATTTTAGAGGCGGAAAAGGAGCTCTGCCTTCATAACAGACAAAACGATGACAGCACTGAAAAACAGCAGAAAGACGTGTCCTCACAGTCCCAGGTTGAACGGTGCCGTCAGTAAGTAACCACCACAAAAACAGTCTTACTTTGTAAAAGAGCAAAACCTCCAAAGGGAACAGGATAAAAAGCCAAAACAGAGGCCCTCGAGAGGACCCGAGAGGGCCCGAGAGGACCCGAGAGGGCCCGAGAGGGCCCGAGAGGACCCGAGAGGACCCGAGAGGGCCCGAGAGGGCCTGAGAGGGTCTGAGAGGACCTGAGAGGACCTGAGAGGGTCTGAGAGGGTCTGAGAGGGCCCGAGAGGACCTGAGAGGACCTGAGAGGACCTGAGAGGGTCTGAGAGGACCCGGCAGTTTGGTCTGAGACAGGCTCATCGTCCAGCTGCAAGTCCTTCTGGGTCAAAGTAAGACCAACGTTAGATTAATGCAGCGCTGCTAT